CATTTTTTTTTTTCTTAGTGAGATCAGGTAAGAGTCCAGAGGAGAGAGTAACCATGGTGTTTACTCATTTGTTTGTCTTTAGGTTTCTTTGTTTGACATGTAGCTTTTAATCACTGCCCTGATAGAACTAGGAAAATTTGTGGTACATGGTAGTTATGTTTATGTACTTTAATGTATACTGTAATACTAATTATAAAAAGTTATAACAGCATGGAAAAAAGACATTGTGTTTGTGGAAATGCACATATGTAATAAATACTTAAAATATGTTTGTAAATAATTACCACCAAACTCGTGGTAGTTGTAGTGTCAAAGGAGGGAGAGAATGAGAACACAGAAGAGATTTAAACTCTTTCAGATATATGTATGTTTGACCTACAGATCTATTCAATGTGAAAATATAAATAGTAACTATATGCATAAATTATTAAAATTCTACGGAATTTTTTTGGCCAGTGATTGAACCAGGGCTTTCTCCATTTACCATTGAGCTATGTGCTCAGCTCCAAAAGTACAAATTTTTTAAGAGAGGAAGATTACTATAGAATTAGACTTTCATTTATGTTAGAAATATCTCATAAAATATGAGATAGTCCATGTTTTGAAGGAAGAAAAGAGAGAAGGTCATGTTTAGAAAACTCAGGAATAATTCCATTCAGATAACAGTCACAGCTACCAACCCAGAAAAGTTCAATGTTTTCAGGAGTTGCAGAGAAAGAGGTGTTCCCTACAGTATTAGCATCTTCTTGGGAAATAAAAAAAAATTAAAAGTGTAGTAGGTACTAGAAGCTAAATCAAATATATAGAATTAACTTGGTATATTTTAATGTAAATCACTATGTGAAGGACAAAATGTTATTTAGGAGTTTGTTCCCTTTAAATTTTATCCTCCGATTAGGATTTCTTTTGGCCTTAAAACATGAAAGTGAACACCTTTTGTATTACTTATATAAATATATTATTATCTTTTTATTGTATTAACATTACTGGTGGCCATATTCAGTAACATCTCTCTCTCTTTCTCTCTATCTATCTATCTATCTATCTAGATAGATAGATTTTTTTTTTTTGGTACTTGGGATTAAACTTGGGTCCTCATGCTTGTGAGGCAGGCAGTGGCACCACTGAGCTAGATCCCTGGCCCACATGTCTATATTTTTAACTCAAATATCCATTTATCTGTGTACATGTGTAGACACACATTTCTGTATACATATATATATATATCTATGTATATATCTATATATCTATATATATATATGTATGTCTTTAGATTAGATAAAACATTATCATCCCTATGTTCTTATCTTTGAAAATTTGAATTGTCTAAACCTCATAATTCCATTCCAGTCATGCATAACTAATAATTTTGTAATTCAAATCTGAGAAAAATATTGAAAATATGGAGCAAATATAAACTCAAAGCTTTTGCTAAAAACAGAAATATTTTGTATATATATATATGTATATATCCTTTGATGCTCTCTCTATATTATATTTATATATATATATATCCTTTAATATATATCCTTTAATGCTCTTTTCTGATATTTAGTTATAATGTGAATTCAATCAGATAAAAAATAATATAAGAAATGAAGATAATATCACTTGTCATTCTTTTCTTCCAAACTGAGGCCCTCACAAAGGCCTCACAAGTTCTTCCTCTGAGCCACACCCTCCTCTCCTTTGGCACTCTTGACTGGAGCTTTACACAACAGCAGTTTATGTAGCTAATAGGAATCTAATAGTTTTTAGCTCTCTATTTTTTGACAGTGTCTGCACAAAAAATATAATTAGCTTTGTAGACAAATTTTGGGGGCCAAAAGAAATAATATAAAACAAACACATTTTGGATTCTATTAGTTCTTATTGTTATGATTCATTCTACATCTTGGTCAAATATTTTCAACTAGGGAAATATAAAAGCTTTGTGCATTATTTTGGTTCTTATTCTTTATGATTTTGACAACAATATGTTCTACCATTTTAAATAATTGCTGCCTTTTGCAGTATGTTTACAGTCAGATTTTCTAGAATCTTGGTGGCTATTTTTACAATATTATTATCCTGAAAACATTTTCCCTTTACAATAAAAACATTTTGGACTATTACAACATTTACACTGTTCAGTAGCTGGATTTTAAGTCTTTACATCATATTGGCAGAGTCTCCCTTTTTCTCTCATATTCCCTAGAAGAGCACTGTGCAAGAATCTCAATTAGGTTGTATTATTTAACATTGTTGATGAGAGTACAATGAGGATAATGATGGTGTTAGGAGGCACAGAGCACGGAAGCATTGGAAATAGTATCTTTGGTACCAGTTATTTTTATTGTTGCCACCTGAGCTTCACAATTCACTCAGTGTACTAAGACATTATAATAAATGCTATGTTCATCTGGCCAGAAAACTGTAATTGCTTAGCCATTCAATATATTTGTGGACTTTTGAATAGTACCAGGCAGTAAGCACCACTCTTTCATCATTTGATAAACACAGCCTAATACCATCTTCTTAGCAAGGCAGTAATATCCCTGAGCTTATTATTTTGTAGGTAAATCACTCCAGTTTGGAGACAACCAGTTACAAATCCCCAGCTAAACAGAAATAGTTTCTCCAATTCTCAGGCACTTTCCCCATCACTTCATCTGTCACTGAGCTTTCCATTTTTCTCTTTCACAGTCACACTCCTAAAGGGTTCTCTGACCTTGGAATTAAACAGCTGACCTGCACATGTGGATGTTTGAGTTGACCTTTCCAATAGTACTGCACATTGTCAGAACTTTCAGTACCAAGAATAAAGCATAATATCATGTTCTCAATGAGATGTAATGTCACCATGCTTTCTTCAAGTGAACAATGGGTAGGAGGTAAGGCCTTTAAAACAAACTCAACCAACCAACAGCCTTTTAAACAGTGGGACAAGACCAAGCTGCTTTTTCTCTGCTGGTTGCTGCTCTCTTGACTCTCTCTTTGTATAAAAATACAAACAGAAGAGGAGATAAATGAGGAATGAAAATACTGAAGATAAGTGATGAGAGGAATAAAACAATTGTCTCTGAAGGCAATATTTTTAGAGGCTTTGAATTTTTCTGTCATGATTTTAAAATTCAAGATAGTATGCATACATTTTGTGGAAAATTTTTATTCCCCTATTATTGCTGCAAATGAAACCCACTTTGACAGACTTGTAGTTTAATTAACTCATTCATGATTTACTACTTTAATGAACAAAACAAAACACAACAAAAACCCAAAAGAAATTCAGTCATGTTAAACTAATCAAGTATCTGTTTTAGACAAATAATTTACATTTTCTGTGCTTCAGCTCACTTATCCAACATAGATAATGTCTAACCCCTTTTACTTCTATCAGTTTGTGATTCTTTGAATTTTTTTTCATGAAGAATAAAAACATATTTTACTTTTTACAGGGCTGGCCTATTAATTATGCTTTTTATTGTCATAGCTGAAAAATGATATTTGATTTTTAATCTGTGAAATGAATCTTTGTATTGAATTACAGAAAGTGAGTGCTCTCAAATATAAATTCTTCCATTGATTTCCTTGCTGTATTTTTCCTTCTGTTGTTAGCCTTCCTCACAATAGATGGTGCTCTTTTCTCAGAGACATTACTGATCTTAGCCTTCATCAAAAGATCAGGGAAATTAACTTTACTCTTTAACAATCATTAATTAAAGAAACCAGACATACAAGTAGAAAGAATCAATCACAAGCAATTTGCAGCACTTTGGTAATAAAAGTATAATAGGGAGGATCATTGTTAAATTGTTCAAAAGTTCTATCAAAACCTGCAATATTTGCTGAGTAGGTGAAGCAAATATTGTAATTAAATATGAAAGTGCCACATTCACAATGAACACATAACCCCCAGGGAGAAGAAAGACTCAAAGTAGGAGACATTTTAAAGTACTAAAATATTTATCTACTTAAAAAAATGTATATATAGCATTCCACATTCAAATACAGTGTTTGAATAGCCTCATAAATGTCACACAGTCATCTTCAATCTCAAAATTAAGAATTTGCACACACCACCAAATACAGCTGGGACATCCGGGTAGATAGAAAGTGGGCCAAAAACTCTGAAGTAATTTTCGTAGAGTCTTCTCTCCGGCTCCATCTCCGTCTCTCTCCTTTCCCTCCCCTGTCTCTGTCCTCTTCTTCTCTGTCCCCACCCCCTTCTGTTACAACCTCCTCTATAACAGCTTCTAATACAGAATTATGCTGCTTTTAGTCACTCTTAATTGATTCTGACTTTTGAAGGCACCACAACACCATCCTGTCCTGTATGTGCCCTGAAACACTGTTACTTCCAGATGCAGTGTTCGATTCCCCCAACTGTAACGTGCTCTGGGAGACACAGTGAACATGCTTGCTTCTTCAAAGTAACACTGCTATGGGAGACACCAGAAAAACTCTCTGTGCTTAATGCGGCCTTGGGTTGGAAGGAAGAGTGGAGAGAAAGAGGCTGCTGTGTCAAGGGAAGGGAAGGGGTGGGGCCGTGGTGCAGCCTAAACTGTTGGAGGAAAGTTACAAGGCTCATCTTTTCAAAGAGAAGGCTCAGACCCTCTATTAGAGAAAAATAACTAAAATCCCTCCTCTTATCCACAACTTATTTATTCCATGGCACATGCACAGAGACAAAGTGTAGGACACTGTAGCAGGATACCAAGAGCTTTCCGGACTCAGTAAAAAATACAAAGCTCTGAGATCCAGCATTCCCCTCCTCTTCCAGACCTCTATTGCTTTTGCCAAAGAAACTTCTCTGTTTTTGGAATTTTCTGTTCTTTCTTTATCAAAGCAGGAGAAAATAGAAAAATAAGTTTTTTCCTACACAAGCAGTAATCTATCCACTATCACTCCCTATTCCTGCCCGGTTAATCTCCCTCTCGCCAGCTCTCCTCTCACTTTTTGGCAGGGTGTCCCTTTTCCATCCTCTTTAGCCGCTGAACTCCGTCGCCATCCGTCCTTACCTGATGATCACATACATGACCAGGAAGTTTCCAAAGAGTCCCACCACGCACACGATGGAGTAGAGGGCCATGATGGTGATAGCCGTGATCATGGAGGGGCTGCCAGTCGGAGGGCACCGGCTGTCGCTCCCGCCCAGCTCGGTGCGGTTCGGACCGCATGGGTCGGACAGATTGCCATCTAAGTGGGATAAGTTAGTCCAGGAACGGGGACTAGGTGCCAGGGAGCAACTGGATTGCACAAAGGGATCTGTGCAATTCCCAGGCAGGACACTGCTGTCCATGGTGCTGACAGTCTGCTGGGCACCACGATGCGCGGTAACTGAGAGGATCTGTACTTTTCGGGTTCCACGCGCCTCAGCCGCTTTCGCTCGCCACAGCCACAGCCCCAGCTATTTCTTCCAGAGACCAACCCTGGCGGAAGCAGAGAGGAGCGTCCAGCAGGAGGGGGAGCTGGGCCTCTGACATTATCCTCTGCTTGTAGCCCCCTCCCACCCTAGTAGTACACAGAGGCACATTTTCAACCCCACGCTGCTGGGAGAGGAGGAGACAGGGCTGTGCAGAATCTTGAGGCTGGAGAGGAGGGAGGAGAGAGAAACGGCGGATTTTGCGCAAAGCAATTCAAGGAGTCCATCTCTCGCTCACACTCTTCTGTGTAACACATCTGGCGGCGTTGGGTGGGTGGGTGGTGAAGGGAATTGGAAAGAGGGGGTGGGGAAAAACACAGGCAGAATTTCTTGGCAAGCAGTGAAGCAGTACAAAGGGGGCTGACATCACCTCATTTTTCCAGCACCGTTTTCTCTTTATAATCAATCAGGAAAGACATTATCCTGATGCAACCCTAACAATCCTGCAGCCTCAAGTGTTCATTTCACTTGCGAACTGCAATTACTCTGAGGCAGGGGGCCTCTTTACCTCAATTCGAGAGAGAGAGAGAGAGAGAGAGAGAGAGAGAGAGAGAGAGAGAGAAATAGTGTTTTTCAAATTCCCAACCCTACAATCTGTCTGAAACAAGAGTAATCCATTTTCAGGGGCTGGGGAGAAAAAGAAAGTTTGTGAAGGAAATCTATTCCCAGTTTCTTTTAAAGTAAAAGCTCTATTGATCTTGTCTTAGAAAGAGAGAGCACACGAGAACGGGAGGCAGAAATTAGGAGATTTTGATATCTAATAAAACCAACCAAAGATAACATTGACCCTGCATATTTTAAATCTCATAGACCTGGCTGAAATTATTTATCCTTTTTATCTTCAGACTTCCTGGATAGACACATGCCTCTAAGAAGAAGGATGCTAAAATCAAATTAAATTTGTGTCATTTTATTCTGTTGCTTAGTGTAGAAATTCCAGGAGGAATTACATATATTGAGTCTGTCAAAAAATGTACGCACAATTCATGAAAAGGAAAGCTTGTATAAATATTTGAAAACTAAATTTATTGAACTGTCATTAGATTAATACAAGTAACCTTTGGCCTCTCCAATTTTGAGAGTTACTCAGAGTGGTGGGCACTTGCTTCCAGACATTTATTAGCACGGTGAACTGCTGAAGCACCTGTACATTTTTTCTGACGGGCTCTGTATATCTGGAGATGAAGTGGTTCTTAAGCATTTAAAAAATTTTAAAATTCTATGACTAATTTCTAAGTTTATGGATGTTTCTGTTTTAGAAACACATTTGTGAATACAGCATGTTTTTTTATAAAGTCAGTATTAATTCCGATGTAATTCTCATTCCATGACATGTATATGTTCATGAATATCTTTATTTTTTAACCTTAGATATTTAACATGCCTATTGCCATTTTGATGTGGAAAGTCAACTGTACGCTTGGAGGACAGGGAAGGGGAAGCTTAGAAGGAACACTCAATTTGACTATTATCTTTAGAAATTTGTCTTGAAAACAGATAACTCATAGGTAAACTCTATTAATCATAGGTTATGTTGCTAATGCTTGGTATTTTTTTATCCTTGTTACATTTCAAGGTATAATTTCAGCAATAAAATATTTCCAACATTTCCTAGAGACTAATAAAAGTATTTTAAGATATAGTCTTTTGTGAACTAATATGTAAATTATCTTGCATTGAGCTGGATTCTTTTTGCCCTTCATTCAGTCCCTTGAAGACATGAAGAACAAGTCTGCACTTACTGCATGTGAAAGACAAATGGGCACAAATAGAAAGTCCTGGCTTTAGAGCCAAGACATTTTGTGATATAGATTTGTTATTTCTTAGCTGTATGAGAGAGGAAGTATGACTATATTACTCTATCTCATTGAATGATAGTTCTCTCACCAGGAACATCAGCCATGTATTCTCAACTGAGATTAATATTTTCCTTTTATTGCTCTTTCTCATGTTTCACTGAGGATAATTATTACCCCTCTATTTTAAATATAAAATTCTCTGGACATCGCTGCATGTTACCCCTTAAATTACATTATCATATTTATCTTGGTATTGGTATCTCTTATCTATTAAAAGTGCAACTTGACAAGATGCAGAATAAATTTAATTTCTTTTTCAGATTGTGAAATAAGATAGCCTTGAGAAATTTAAAAAAGAGCTATAAAGAAATAGTAAATGAATACCATTCAATATTTATGTAAAAGGGCCTCAAATTCTAGCTTCTGTTATCTCTTAATTTTCTCTATAATTGCATATTTTATACAAGTGGTCTAAAGCCTATTGTGAAAGCTCAGATCTCCCATAAAACAGGTAGACTATAAATGAGTCATTTTATTACTATGTGTTTCTTTTTTAACACAATCTGGATTCTAACTATGTAAACTTTAATTTGCTTTAGTATGATATCTGCATAACAGGAATATTCGCCTTTTCGTTAATTTTCTTGTTTAGATTATTTTTTCTATTTGTAGCAAGAATAATTTATCTGTCAGTCTAGATTAGCATTGGTATCAAGTCTATATCATAAAACATTTTTCACAAAAATGTTCTAAAGCGATGCACTTGCTCCTTACATAGATGGTCACAAGAAAGTACTGAAAGTCACTTCACTTCCATGAATTTCAAAATATATTGGTTTTAGTCATTCACATAATTGCCATTATCATACACTTATTTTAATAGCTTGGTCCTGAGATGTTTGAGAGTGGCTGTTAATGGAACACAAGATTAACAGATATTAATGAGGAATAGAGACATAAATACTAAGTATGAAACAAAGTTGTTTGAAGCTTATTAAGAAGGAGTATCCAAAGTTTCATTGAAAGAACATTTTTTTGTTGGTTATTAGTTTTCCTCATTGAGTTTATTGGTACATTTTAGGTATACAGTACAGTTACATTCATCATTGGGATCTTGTGCCTTTACATGACAGATTTTGGTTCTCATTTTCCCCCATACCCCTGCCCTCCCTTCACCCCCTCCTCCCTCTATTTACAAAGACTCTATTTCCATTTTTTCTTTTTCTCATATTAATATTTGTTTGTAAAATTTTGTCATTGGTAATAAATACCTTCAATTTCCTTCGAGGTAATACACTCCTTTTCTAGAAATATATACTAAATATACACTTGTGACAGATATAGTAGCTCATATTTGAGTTAGTATTTTATGAGTGCATGTTTCCAATAGTATTTATGTTCCCTTGGAAAAATTGGTGTGTCTGGATTACTTTCCTTCCCTTTACCTGCTACACAGTAAGCCCTGTTATCTTTCTCCATCCTTAAAAAGTCTGCTTTTTTCAAATTTTCTTTCTCCAATTTTAACTATTTATGTACTTATTTATATTTTTGATTTCTCATATAAAAGAATATGCAATATTTCGTTTTGTGTCTGACTTATTTTGCTTAACATTACAGTCTGAAGTTCCATCCATTTTCCTGCAAATGACATGATTTTATTCTTCATGGATGAATAATTCTCCATCATGTATATAGTTATTCTTCAAATAAAAATAGTGTTCCATGGAAAAAGTGGTTGGTTCAGTTTACAACTCAAATTGTCACACGTACTTTCCCTTGGGACGGGTATCCTATTTCACAACGGGGTAGGAGTGCCTTATGTGTATTTTCTCACGAAGAGCATTTAGATGACTTGTGCATGATTTCAAGGAGTTAGTAAGTTTTACTGGTCCATCAATATGTTTCAAGTAAAACTTCTGGGTTTTTTGTCTTTGTTTCTGTTTCCATCTGTGACTGTGAGTCTACAGAGAATGCAGTGACTGCAATGCCTTAGGAACCCACAGCTTCAGTTTCTGCTAAGACCACTGTTTTCATACCTTCTCAAATTTTACTTTAGTGAAACTTTGTAGGATTATTATTACAATAGTTTCATCTTGTTTATCTCTTAGAGTCTTAGGAATGCCCCAGAGATCCACAGACCACACCTTCAGAACTGCTGATGTAGGTCATTGTAAACATGTCCTAGCTTTCCTGCTTTTGTTTCCTACCAGTCAGTTGTGTGAGTGCCATGTAACTCTTTCCCTGAAAAACCAGTGCTTTGCGCCATAGTTTTCAATGACTTATGAGGAGAAACATTGGTATTTACCTGAATTCCTAACTTCGTATTGTTCTGTTGCTCGGTGCTCCCTGTTCTTTCTCTCTTCTTCCTTCTGCCCTTCCTGAACTTACAGGATCATGGACCCTGCTTCATGCTTAATGGATCACGGGGCACTTTCCTAGTGTTTTACCTCTTATTCATTTCAGTTTTTTCTCCCCTCCCCTCCCCTCCCCTCTTCCATGTCTTCCTCCTATTTTTCCCTTGTAAGTCCTGGGTTAGGAATGGAATCCAGAGCCTTTGCATGTTCATACTGAGCTATAATCTCATCCCATTTTACTTTATACATTTTGAAATAGGGTCTCACTAAATTGTTATATTGTTTAAGTTTAGCTTGAACTTGCAACCCTCCTGCCTAAGGTTCTCAGAGTGCTGGGATTACAGGTATACACCACCATGCTTGGCTTTACCTCTACTTTCAAACCATTATATATGTGCTCGTGTATAAAAGGCCTTCCTAAGGCGTGGATACTACTGGATTATTCCATTTTTCTGAAAATATGGTACTTCATTTATATTTTAACCTGCAACGCAAACCCTGCTTTCAATCTTTGCTTTGTATTCTCACAGCCTCACTTATTCCCCAATGTTTTAAAATTTGCCCTTTATTCCCAAGGATATTATGGACTTTCACAATGCTAAGCGTATTAGTATCTTAATCTTTATTTATAGTATTTTTCTTCACAGTTTTTACTATTTATCTGCGTAATTTTACTTTTTATTATTTTCTCAGTGTGCCAATTATTTTCTTTTATTGTAACTTTTTACTCTGTTCATTACTCCCGAGGTGTAGAATTTTGGCATTTACTACTCACCATTTCCACGTGTCTTCCAAATCAACCACAAATTGTCCTTATCTGCATTGTAACCAGTGCGTTGATGGATCCTATCTGCATTTCTTTCTTCTCTTTCTCCTTCTCCTCCTCCTGCATCTTCTTCTTCTCTTTTTTGAGATTTCTGAATACTTTCTGTTTATCAAAGTTCTTTTTAAAAATTTTATTAGTACATGTGTGAAGTTCATACAGTTTACAGTCATCTTGGGAAGTGGTTACTTGTACATAACACAGCTTGCTTGTTTTTACGAAAGCTCTTTTCTCTTCCCTTCTGTACCCTCCCTCCTCCTC